AACTTACTAAATGTGAGACTTTGTGCTCAATTTGCTTGTCACTATGAAGAGTTTTTATTGTTACAAGAGCTCATCTTCTTCATAACTGAGAAAAGTTTGCATATCAGACCAAGAGAAAATAAAGCTTTTGTTTTAGAATAGGAGTTAAACAATCTTATTAAAACTGAAATGTAATGAGGTGTATTTTCCCACTAACACATGTAAGGACTTCCCTTTGCCATTATATTTAAAACTTCAGACTGTTTCTCATAACGTATTTGGTTCTTCCAGATGTTTCCCTCATCCATTCTCACTCTACATCACACAACCTATATTACAATCACACTAAACTTTTTATAACTTGTCTTAGTTACTTTCCTTTCATTGCTGAGGCAAAATACCCCCAATACTCAAAGTTAGAAGGGAAAAGTTTTATTTTGCTTACAGTCTGTAGACGTTTCAGTCCATAATTGTCTGGCTCCAAGGCAGAAATGGCAAACAGACATCGCAGAGGAGAAACAACATGGTGTGCACAAGGTGGCAAAGATATCAAGGGGCCATAACAGTGTCGTTCTGTCCCTTTTACCTCATCCAGACTACCAGGATTAGGGCGGTGTCAAACTAATCACTCATGATTTAGTGATCATACTCCTTTAATCCCAGCATCACAATCTCTAGATTTAGTCACCTCAGAAAAAGCACTTGGCTTTGGGGGGACATCTAAACACAAACCATAACATTCTGCCCCCCTTTATGCACATCCCTTTATGCAAAAAAGCATTTAGTTCCTCTCCAAGAGTTGCCAAAGTCCTAACAGTTTCAAACTGAAAAGCTCAAGTCCAGAGTCTCCTCTGAGATTTAAGGCAAACTAGTAGCTGCAAGCCCCTGCACAGATGAAAAGAACGTTAAACACTCCCAATATTCAATGACACAAGATAGAAAAGTTATAAACAGGAGGGTCCAAAGGAATGAGACCAAAACAAGTCCAAAATCTGGCAAGGCAAACATTAAATTCCACAGTTCCACTTTCAACACACACACTTCTGCACACGCACACACATGCACCTGCAACCTGTGGCAAGTTGTGAACTCCAAACAGCTTGGGTGGTTCCACCCCTGAAGCACTCTGGCTGGTTGTAGTTCTCATGGATTCTCTCTTGGGCCAGCTCTTCTCCCTCCTTGCAGTTTTTTTCAGATGATCCATACCACTGGCTTCTCCAAACTTTAGGGTCTTCCCAATCACAGCTTTGGCTACACACTCAGAGCTTCACACACTACCCTTACAGAGGCACACTGCCTTCTTCTGAAATCTGGGTGGAAGCCTTCCTGACTCCATAACTCTTCCATTCTAAAACCAGGGTCAAGTGGACAATATCAAGGTCTGCTGACCTTCCCTCTCTTTGGGGTGTAAGGTCCAGTGTCCAGGTCACTGAGCATTCTGAATCCAATTCCAAGGAACAAATTCTCCAGGCTGCCACCATTCTGGAACACAGTGCTCTGAGGCTTTCTTCTCAAAGCAAAGTCTTTCACTTCTGCAAATTTGAGGCTGCAAAGGGTTGAGTCCTACTGCTTCTTATGATGCCTTCAGGCCATCTTTTCTATTCTCCTGTTCCTTCTTGGCTATCAAGATCTCCTTTGCTCTATCTTTGCAGTCCACCACTTTACTGGTGTTTCTTGTCTAGCCAAACTCAAAACATTTTAAAACATTTTGGTGGACCTTGATTTTGGTGCTCTTGATTATCAAAATAAATCTGGTGAAAAGCTCCCAATAGCATCCACGCCACAGCCTCAACATTAGCCTGCCTTGAAATTTCTTCTGAGATATCAGTCCACCAACCTTAATCTCAGTTCCAGGCAAAGTGGCTAGACATGAGCAAAATCAGACAAATTTTCTGCCAAGCCATGACACACATTGTCTGGAGTCCAACAGCCAAAGTAGTTCTTCTTCCCAGCAGGAACCTCTTGAGCCTGGTCTTTACCGGCTTTCTGGTCTTCTGAGCTCTGACCAGAACTTGCATAGCCTAAGGTGTCCCAGCTCTACTTCCTCAGCAGGCATCTGCGAACCATTCTAACTCTTCCCCTTCCCACAAGCCAGTTCCAAAGGCTCGTGAGCCACATGGCCAGGGAATGTCACAACAAGATCCCCACTTCTCTGATGCCAAATTCTGTCTTAGTTACTTTTCTCTCATTGCTGAGACAAAATAACCCTCACTCAAAGTTAAAGGGGAAAGGGTTTATTTAGCTCATAGTTTGTAGAAGTTCAGTCCATTATCAGCTGGATCCAAGGTAGAGTGGCATAAGGACAAGAGTTCATAACTCTTTGCAGTGGGAGACAGCAAAAAGAGAAAAGAGCAGCATCTTTCTGCCCCTTTTATCCCATCCAGACTAATGGGATTAAGTCAATGCCAAACCAATCACTCTTACGGTTCAGTAACCACATGCCCTGAATCCCAGCATACACACTCTAGATGTAGCCACCTAAGAAAAAGCATGAGGCTTTGGCAGGACACCTAAACACAAGACATAATATAATTCTTCCAAAATATTACATTCTATGCATCCATTCTCTAGATCTAGCATGCCATCCTATCTAATGACCTTTCCCTCGCCATTTAGGACATACAACAAATGGAACTGAGGGTCCTTCAGTTTGAGCTGAGAGCACCCACATAGACACCATCAATCTCTGGCTGAGGTTACTACTGCTAAACTTATCTTTATGCCCTTCGAACACATCCAATGCCTACTTCATGAGTAAGTGGTTATTGCTTTGAGATATAATATGTCTTCTTTGTACTTTCCCCTGAGCTACTTCATAAAGAAAAGAGACAGAATTAAATAAACATGTATTCATTAGTTATTTCCTAGTTCAGTGCTGTACATAGAATGGAGGACAAAATAGTTGCTGCTCTTGCTCTTCTGAAATCTGCACTCAATGGAGGGAAACAGAGCATAGAAATTATATATGCAAAATAGTTAAAGCTCATGATGAGTGATAAGTTGGGAGAAATTAAGGTTCACAGAGAAAAAGGGAGGAGACAGTGGGGAAACAACTTCAATGACCAGGCTGACAAAAGGTCTCCGTGGCCACTATAAATATAAGCTGAGAAAGATGAGCTGACAGCTGATTGAGAAGGAGTGTAGAATCATGCCTGTGCCTTAGGAAGAACGATTCAAGTGTCTTGAGTGGTAACAAGCTTGGTGTGATCTGCAAACAGCAGAGGCCTGCGGGTTGTCATGGAGTGGAAGGGCGTTGACCTTAGATGTGCAGACCAAGACACGGGGAATGGGCAACATCAAGCTATGTCTACTGGAATCAAGAGCATCACTTTACTCTCCACGCAGTGGAACCAAGTAGACAGTTTTAAAGCATGAATTATATGGTTGAATTTTTGTTATGAGCCATGATTTCCATCCTACATTTTAAATAATTCTGTATATCAGTAGGATGTGATGGTGCATGCCTGCAATCCCAGCACTCAGGAGGCTGAGGCAGGAGAATCACTTCGAGTTCCAGCCACCCTGAGCTTCATAGTGAACCCCATTCTCAAAAACAACAATAGTTCTGGCAGGGGATTTAGCTCAGTGGTGCCGCTGTCTGCCTCACAAGCACAAGGACCAGGATTCGATCCCCGGTACCACAAAAATAAATAAATAAATAAATAACAACAATAGTTGTGTATATTAATCTGGATAAGATTTCCTCACGAATTTACTTGTAACTTCATTCCCCTCTCCACTGGGGGGCTCCAGAGATTGTTACGTGTACACAGCCTAGTCTCCCAAGCACCTTCAGCAGGGGCATCTGCCTTTCTCCAACAGCTAGCTATTTTTAAAACTGTAGCACCAAGAGAGTATGGACAGCTGAATAAATAAAAGATTTAAATGCAATCAGCTCTTTGAGCCAGCTCTGCATCTGATAACAGTAGCATGAATCACTTTTTCTACAAAATTTATGCCAAGCATATACATGAACACATGCATTAGGACTGATTAGTAGTTTTTAAGAAAAAGTGACTGGACCAGCATAAGAGTGGTGTACAGAGCATATCCTAGAAGGATTAGGACCTACTTGGTGGCCTGCTTATTGAAATGACAACCTTGAAAGTTGCTGGTCTCCGAGTGCTTGCTCTTGGCTGCCTAGCACCATGTTAAGTGCACTGTTAGATCTACATAATTTCATTTAATCCTGCACCCATCAGAGCCGATAGAGATGTCCATTATTCCCTTTACTGAAATTGGAAAACCGAAGCTCAGGGCCCACAGGTTTTGCTCTTAAGCCCCAAGTCAGGCACCTGGCCAAGAACATTGTTTTTGTGTAACCTCTAAGAGCGACCTCGTGGCATTGGAGATGCACTGTGGATTTGCTGGATCTGCATTACTATCTTTTCTCTCCGAGGATGTAATGATACACAATGTATCACTAAACAACCTGAAACTGCATGAAAAGGAGCTGAGACTAGAACTGAAATCTTTGTAAACCTCCTCAATTTTGTATTCTGGTGGGCACAGAGGTCTTTGGAGTCAGGCAGTCTTTTACCGAATGCCAACACTGCAGCTTGACATCTAGGAGACATTGACAAAACTCTCAACTGGAAATCAATTCTTTTAAAAGTCTACTTTTTTCCTGAACTTTGTTACCTTTAATCAACTTTCACAACTTGTTTCAAACTGTACACTCAGCGCCGATAGCTCATAATCTCCTCAAGACAGGTTCTTCATAAAGAATTGGGAACAAAGGTGCTAAAAAGAACCACAGCACAAGAGACGTTTCTACCCAGCCTTGCCACGAACTCGCTGTGCAGCTTTGGCCCAAATCCTTTCTTCTGGACCTCAGATGCAAAACCAACAACCACTTAGCTGGAGTTAAAGATTATCCTAAGTTTTGAAGTGCTATGAAGGAATGTAGCCCGTCGCCGAGCTGAGAGAAAGAAGAGGCGAAGGGCTAAGTGAAAACACAGTATTAAATATTAAATACGAATACGATGAGAACACTGTGTGGTTCGGCTGTTAACACTTCCACAAATTTCACCAGATACTCAAGGTTCATCAAGAGCCACCCTAAAAGTTGGCATTAAAAGGAGTGAAAAAACCAACAGAGCTCCTGCCCTCTGTGGAACTTCAGATCTACATAGACCAAAAGCAGGAGCCTGAAAAGGACATTCAGCTACAGACACATTGTGTTTGACCAACACGTTTTTAATTTTTTTTTTTACCTGCCGATGTATGAAGATAATGGGAGACTTAAAGCAAAAGTTCGTTTTTAAAAATCCGAATATTTGGCAGTGCTGGCATTTCCACCAGGCAGGGCAAAGAGGAACTGGGCAGAGGCTGTTCCCTCTGCGTCCCGGACTAAAACCGCTCTCTCCCTGCAGGCACTCTGGGGTCAAAAGCAACCTGTGTGAAGGCTTTCCCTGGCACAAGCGCGGGTAAGTGCGGGATTAGAGGGAAAACAGTAGGTTACTTCAGCGGTCTTGATTATTATGAATGGAGGTAAAAGAAACTACAGTGGAAGGGAACTTAAAGCCTTCCCGGGGTAGGGGGGGTGCCTTCCCCTCTGCGCCTCCAGTCCTCGACCCCGCTTCCAGAAGCAGCGGGGGCGGGGGCAAGAGAAGCGTGGGAAAGTCGGGGACTGGGAGCCAGGAGACCCGGGTCTACCAGATGTTCCCTCCACTCACGGTTAAACTACGCTGGGCAAGAACTCAGACTTCGCGTCTGGGTGCCTCAGCTACCCAGCAATAAAATGAGATCCACCGCAGCAAAGCAGCGCCCTCGAGAGGGTCTTTCCCGTGGGAAGCTGTGCAATTCCCCGAGACCTGCAGTAGCTACCTGCACCTCCCCCCCAGCTCGGCCCGAGTCACCCCGGGGGAAAGCCCGCCCCTCCCACTAAGGGAAGTCAGGT